TGTATCTGGACTGAAAGTTGCCCCAAATACAGGCATAATGACCGTACGTTCTTTCTACTCGGGGGAAGAAGGTCATGGAAGTCCCAATGCCCAAACAGACTGTCCCGAACCCAACACCCTAACAATCTGTCTCAACCCAATGCCCAAACAGCCGGTCCCGATCCCAGTTGAATGCCCAAACAGTCTGTCCGGACCGAATATGCCCAGACAGTGTGTCCCGATCCAATGCCCAGCAACAACAGTCCATCCCGACCAAATCTCGAACAGCCTGTCCCGATCCAGATCATCAGCAACCGCTGCCAACGTTTATCCGTACGTAACGCGTACGTCGCCAGAAGAAAAATTGTTGACGTCAACAGATTGGAGGTGACGGGACTGCAGCTCCTTGCGTTCCCCGCTCTCGAATGCGTGTCTCGGTCGCGGTCGCGATCCCGACCTACAGGTGCTGTCGCAGGCTCCCACCCTCCCTGACTCCCCCGACTCCCCGCCCTTCCCCCCCCCTTTTCCCCCCCCCCCGTCCCCCCTTTCCTTCCCCCCCTCTCTCTCTCTCTCTCCCCCCCCCCCCCCCCCCCCCCCGCCCCTTCCCCCGCCCTCTTCCCCCGCTTCCCTCCCTCCCCTTCCCTCTCCCATATCATCCTCGTCTCTCCTTCGGGCGGAGAACACTCCAAGGAAGTTTCTACCAACTTTCCTGTAGACCATTCTTCGCCCTAACGTAACGCCACATCATCATGAATGTATACAACACCTCTTCCCGCCCAAATACAGTCACGATCAATCCTCATCTCTCCTGCGCTAGGTCCCACTCACCGAGGATTACGTGTGAGTTATACATCTAACGGACGTCCTTCCCGACATCCGTTAAATTTGGAACGATACACAGAAAGAGATGAGATGATTAGCATGCCCTGCTCCCCCCCGGCTAGTGGTGTCTGCCTTTATCAGCACCACTAGCCTGAGGAGGGGCGGTTTAAAAAAAAAAAAAAAAAAAAAAAAAAAAAGGATGACTGACACACATAAATCGAAAAATAGTAAGGAAACAAAAAAAAAGGTATATGTAACGGAAGACTAACGGAGGGGGAAAAAGAAAAAAAGAAAAAGGGAAGACTAATGACACACATAAATCGAAAAATAGTAAGGAAACAAAAAAAAAGGTATATGTGACGGAAGACTAACGGAGGGAAAAAAAAAAAAAAAAAAAGGGAAGACTAACGGAGGAGGAGTAACGGAGAAGTAACGGAGGAATAACGGGGTAGGAACGCAACTGCGACGAGGCCGAGGTCCCACTTGCATCTGTACCTTGCATCTGTACCGTCTTCCCTCGAATAGAGCGCACCGTTATTATCGCTGTATTCGGGCGCAACTTTCAATCTAGATACAGAGGCCAGGGCGTTCTATTCGGATGAAGATACAGAGGCCAGGGCGTTCTATTCGGATGAAGATACAGGGGTCAGGGCGTTCTATTCGGATGAAGATTCAGGGGTCCGGGCGTTCCATTCGGATGAAGATACAGCGGTTCGGGCGTTCTATACGCATGAAAGACGGTAGCAGATACGGGTCCTTGATTTTTTTATTTTTTTTTATTTTTTTTATTTTTTTTATTTTTTGGGTGCTTGATCTTAATTATCTGCGCAAGGTATCTCTTTATTCGAATAGAGCGCCCGGTGTCAGACCTCATCCCACAAGCCGGAGCTCGCTCAGAGGCACTGGACCCACCTCGAAAACATCCCACCAATCTCTCCAAGATGGTATAATTTTATTATTATTTTATTACTATTTTATCATTATTTTATTATTATTTTATTATTGAATTATTATCATTATTATTCGTCCCACTGATCAGATATGAATTTTATTATTATTTTATTATTATTTTATTATTATTTTATTAATGAATTATTATCATTATTATTCGTCCCACTGATCAGATATTAAACTGATCCGGACAGGTACTACACTAATCTAAGCCAAAAGGCCGAGAAAGGTGTTATTATTATTATTATTTTATTATTATTTTTATTTTAATTTTTCTTGAAAACTCCGGCTCACGGTCCTAGACAGGGTGATAACAGCATCCTCCCCTACTGCTAGTACCCGTCCGCCGGGCGCTCCAGTCTATTGGTGGGGAGCTTCACCTGCTGGAAAAAAACGGGTCCAGCGTCCCATGTGTACACATCTGCAAAAAAACATACATACATAAAAGTATTTTTCGCAGATAGTGAATTCTTCATTTCGGACCGTTGATTAGCAAGATTAAGAGAGATTACGAAAGATCGCGGGCAAGTGGGACCTCACCCCTGGGTCTGGGAACCCACCCCTGGGTCTGGAAACCCACCCCTGTGTCTGGGACCTCACTCCTGGGTCTGGGACCTGTCTCTTATACACATCTAGATGTGTATAAGAGACAGCTTCATTTCGGACCGTTGATTAGCAAGATTAAGAGAGATTACGAAAGATCGCGGGCAAGTGGGACCTCACCCCTGGGTCTGGGAACCCACCCCTGGGTCTGGAAACCCACCCCTGTGTCTGGGACCTCACTCCTGGGTCTGGGACCTCAGCCCTGGGTATCTTTTCTCGGTGATTTTGTCGTTACCTGAGGACGGTCTCTCTCTTAATCGATGCAGCTGGGAGAGGCCCACTTACTGGCCTAGATGCTTCATTTCTGACCCCTGGTTAACGGAGAGTAACGGAGAATACAGAGAAAAACAAAGGTTGCCGCCAACGGGGATCAAAGAAGAGATTAAAGGAGATCAACGGAGATCAACGGAGATCAACGGAGAATACAGAGAAAAACAAAGATTGCCGCAAACGGGGATCAAAGGAGATTAAAGGAGATTAACGGAGATTACAGAGAAAACCAAAGAATTTTCACCAACGGAGATTAACGGAGATAAACGGAGATAACGAAGATTAGCGACGGAGATTAACGGAGATTAACGGAGATTAACGGAGATTAACGGAGATTAACGACGGAGATCGCGGGTAAGAAAGACCTCACCACTGGTCTCCTGTGCCGTCCTCCTCCGTTACTGCTCCGTTAAATGTAACTTTTTATATTTTTTATATTTTTTATATTTTTTATATTTTTTATATTTTTCATATTTTTTATATTTTTTGTTCTGCCTGGAATTTCCATAATAATATAATACTATACCAAAAGGAGTAGTATTATAAATATTATTTTATTATATTATTATGATCGAAATTCTGCATTTCCCGCCGTTCACCTCGCGATCAAGGGTACCGTGCATGCATCTCCACTTTTTTTTGAACTTCTTTTTTTAACTTTTTTCTTTTGAAGAAAAAAGTGTCTTTTATTATAAAAAAGGCCGGGAAACGGGCCCGGCGTCCCTCACAATCGCATCGGGGTTTGAAGCTGCAATGGAAATGTGAATTTTGAGGGGGAGGGAAAATAAAAAAAAATAAAAAAACCGCATCGGGGTGGTTGACAGGCCTGGGCGAGACACGCCGGCCAAGCCCAACCTACAATCAACCAGTCCAGCCCCCAAAAGACAGTACCCCTCAAGAAAGTCCCACTCCCCGACTCTATGTAAAAGAAGGAAAAAAAAAAAAACGCAGAAAAACAAACCGGGCCAAAGCGAAGATCCGGAAAGAAAGCCACGCATCTACCTTTAATTGGATTTAAAAAAAAAAAAAAAAAAAAAAATGGTGCGTTTGGTCAAGAAAGGGGGTGTGTGTTTTCTCAGCCTCTGATTGATATCATCATCTGCGTCCAAGAATAGCAAGAGAAAAAAGAACGAAAAAACTTAAAAAAAATAAAAACGTCCGTGGGTAGACATAGAAGAAGAAAAATAAAAAATCGTCCGAGGGTAGATATAAAAAAGGAAAAAAAGGACCAACGGGGGCGAGGTCCCACTAGCAAAGAGGATTGGATTGAACGCCTGAATCTGGACGCGTTTGTGGAAAGGTGGACAAAATCGAGATTGAACTGCTTTTCTGCATTCGTGCTGAAAACACGTCCAGATTCAGGCGCGTTCCATCCAATCCTCTTTGCTAGCGGGACCTCGCCCCGGGCGTAGCTCAGCTCAGTTGGTACAGCCGATGAACTGTTGTTGAAGTACAGGCCCAAGTTCGGGTCCCATGCAATTAGAGGGACAGAATGAAAAAATATTGTTAGGAAAAAAAAAAAGAAGGGAAAAACGAAAAAAAAGAAAGTCCTTGTATTTAAGCATTTGCTTAGGACCAGGAGCGAGGTCCCATTAGCAAAGATGATTGGATTGAATGTCTGAATCTGGACGTGCGTTGTGAAAAGGAGCAAAAAATCGAGATTGATTTGCTTTTCTGCACCTATGCTTAAAACACGTCCAGATTCGGGAGCTTCATCTAATCCTCTTTGCTAGTGGGACCTCGCCGCAGGTGTTTTTTGCTATGCCGAAGATTGCATCTCTGCTTAAAACACGTCCAGATTCAGGAACTTCATTTAATCCTCCTTGCTATGCGTCATCTGGGACCAAAAAGAGCAAGGAAAAGGAGGGGAAAAAAATAATTAATTAATTAATTAATTAATAAAAACCATCCCAGGTACAGAGACAAAAAAAAAATAAAATAAAATAAAGATACAGAGAAGATTGGCATGGCCCCTCGCACCAATCACGAAAAGGTCCAAATTTACGGGGAAAAAAAAAAGAGGGAAAAAAAAAGAGGGAAAAAGAAAGAGGGGAAAAAAAAGAGGGGGAAAAAAAAAAAGAAAAAGATTCTACGGACCAAATTTTTGTTCCGACTCCAATAGGAATGAGCATTCTTTTTTCTCCTATTTCTCTTTTTTTTTTTTTT